CTTTATCTGTTCCAGGTGAAGTTATTGAGATGGAAAATGGAAAGGCAGACATGTTGAGTAATGTCAAGGAATACAGTGAAGATGATGCAAATACATCTCCATCCATTGGAGAGGAACCCGGACTCTCAAATTCTATCAATGTCCCACGATCACAATAATTGAAGCTGAAAACAGAGTTGTCGATACAGTCCAAGGTACTCCACTTGCTGAAATAAGAAGCGGCTAAGAACCTCAGTCAGACATACTTGGGTCTTCTACCAATGAGATTCAGGTACCAAATTGGAAGCATAAAAGCTCGCATCCTCTTGATAACATAATCACTCCTCTTGACTCAGGAGTTCAAACCAGATCAAAAGCTAGAAACTCACTTGCCTTCTCAGCCTTTCTTTCTCAAATAGAGCCCAAACATATCAAAGAAGGATTGAAAGATGCAGGCTGGATCACAACCATGCAAGAGGAGCTACATCAATTTGAAAGGAACAAGGTATGACAACTGGTTCCTCGACCTGCATATCGAACTATAATAGGAACTAAGTGGGTATTCAGGAATAAACTTGATGAGTTTGGAAATACAACAAAAAACAAGGCAAGGCTTGTAGTTCAAGGCTACAATCAGGAAGAAGGAATTGACTATGATGAAACTTTTGCTCCAGTTGCTCGAATGGAAGCTATCAGAATTCTTATTGCCTTTGCATCACATATGGAGTTCACATTGTTTCAAATGGATGTCAAAAGTGCATTTTTGAATGGCTTCCTGAAAGAGGAAGTTTATTTCAAGAAGCTACCTGGATTTGAGAATCACGAGCATCCTGAGTATGTGTTCAAACTGGACAAAGCGTTGTATAGGCTAAAGTAGGCTCCCCGGGCTTGGTATGAAAGGTTTTCAAAATTCCTTCTTGAAAATGTCTTTACAAGAGGGAAAATTGATAACACTCTTTTTTCTGAAGAAATGAGGGAGGAACCTGCTCATTATGCAAGTATATGTTGATGATATCATCTTTGGAGCCACAATCGACTCTTTATGTGAATAATTTGCAAAACTCACGGGGAGTGAGTTTGAGAAGAGCATGATGGGACAATTGAATTTCTTTCTGGGTCTACAGGTGAAGCAATCTCAAAAGGGAACATTGATAAGTCAGCAAAAGTACATTAAAGAGTTGCTGAAAAGATTTGACATGGAAACATCAAAAGTCATTGACACTCCTATTGCCACAACTACTCGTGTAGACATGGATGAACCTGGTTCCCCTGTAAATCAGACCATGTATAGAGGCATCATAGGGTCACTCTTGTATCTTACTGCAAGCAGACCAGACATTATTTTTAGTGTGGGTCTTTGTGCAAGGTTTCAATCTATGGAATCCCATCTGAAGGCTGCCAAAAGAATATTGAGATATCTCAAAGGAACGCAGGACCTGGTTCTATACTATCCTACATGAGACAACTTTGATCTTGGTGGGTATGTTGATGCTGCTTATGCAGGATATCTGGTGGATAGGAAAAGCACGCCTGGAATGGAACATTTTTTTGGGTTCCTGTCTAATCTCATGGGGTACAACGAAGCAAAACTCGGTGGCACTCTCAACTACAGAAGCAGAATATATAGCAACTATTTCGTGTTGTGCTCAATTATTGTGGATCAAACATTAGTTGGAAGACTTTGGAGTGTTCTCTGACTGTGCACCCCTATTGTGCGACAATGCAAATGCACTCAACATGGCCAAAATTCCAGTCCAACATAAGAGAACCAAGCATATTGATGTGCGTCACCACTTCCTCAGAGACAATGTTGAAAAGGGGCTCATCCGTATGAAATTTTACAGCACAGAAGATCAGATTGCAGACATATTCACCAAAGCCTTGAGCAGAGAACATTTTGAAAGAAATCGCCTGGCACTGGGGTTGATAAAACCCAACTGAGAACGTGGTCCCTCAATGATTGGCTATGAAAGAAATGTACAGGTAAAATTAGCTAAAATGTATTTTATGGCAAAGTCTAACTCATTTCTATACCATTACAGGTAGACACGAATGATGATTATAGAGTAGTTGATGTAGTGCATGCTGGTAAAAAGGGTAAATCTTACACTTGCAAGATCCGCCAGGGAACCTAGTTCTCCTGACACAGGTTAATAGTTTCTCTGTTCTCTCATGCACAATTCTGAACGGATAAAATAGTTCCACATCATCAGTGTGTCAGTTTATTTTCTTTGTATCTTTTGAACCCAAACATCTCACCCATTGGTAAGTGATACGACTCCCAAAACTGCCGCCTTTTCGTAACCGGTCCCTCATCCATCCTAAATACACCCATCACTGTCACAACTCTTCATATCAAACTTCAAAATTTTCTTTCTTCTTTCTCTCTTCAAACTACCAATCCCTCTTCTTCAACTCATCACTTCTCACCATGACTGAAAGTCAAGAAACCTCAAAATTTTCAAGTAACACCCCCATTGAGTCCTCACCAGTTAAAACACCGACATTAGACTCTTCACTTAACACCAACACTAGCCAAAACCCTAAGGCAGAGTCACCCCTACACCCAGCCTCTTTCTCCTACCCAATCGAGTTCTAGTTCTCATCGGAGCAGCAAAACCTCTACTCCTAAAACATTTGTGGCTACAAGCTATCCTCCTGCCTCACCGGAAAAATTGGGTGAAAAGGGTACAGTTGATGAAGAGGAAAATCAGGAAATCTCCAGTCTTCCTATGGAAGAAGGCTCAAATGCAGACCAAATTGCTGGTTCTGAGAATGCTGACTCAACTAAGACAGTTCCTAATCTTGAGTCCACAGGTAACACTCCTCATTCTCGTGCATTTTCCATGGATTTACAAGAGAAAGAAGCAATAGAAAAAACTTGGTTGTATTGTAATATTTACCAAATTTGTCTGCATCCTTCTACAGGGCCCTTCACTGAAGAGGCTACTGGAGATTGGTAAAGTCAAGACTGGTCTATACTTCCATTGTTCAGACAACTACAACACTGGTTCTACTTCACCTGATTTTCTAGTGCATCTTATCCATGTCATACCACTAATAAAGATGAGGTATACTCTGCTGTTAACACATCTAGTTCATTTTCTTTTCCTTATTTAGCTAGTACAAATAAGCCATATTCTACCATCCATGTTGCATCTACTTTTGTTGTTCCATCTCACAACAGTAATGAGAGTAGTTCTTTTCCATATCTGCATCATTCTGTAAATAAATCAAGCAATAAAAGTGATTCTTGTCTGTCTGATGCTTCCTCAACTACAAAGAATTTGCTTGATCTCTTGTGGCATAATATTTTAGGACATGTACCTTTTGTCAAAATGAAAGGAATCACTTCTATACTTTTTACTTTTGCACCCAAACAACCTTTCTTTTGCCCTATTTGTCCAATGGAAAGACAAACCAGATTGCCTTTCCCAGAAAGAACAACATTAACCACTAAGATCTTTGAGCTTTTACACATTAACCTATGGGGTCCCTATCATGTTAAAACACACAAAAAATATATATACTTCATCACACTTGTGGATGATTACAAAAGGTCCACACGAACTTATTTGTTAAGCTGTAAAAATAATACCCTGCATACTATCAAGGCTTTTTCTGCCATGATAGAGAACCAATTCAACACTAGTATCAAAATTCTAAGAACTGACAATGGCCTTGAGTTCACCAGTTTTGAAGACACCTCATTTTTCCAATCAAAAGGCATCATACATCAGAAAACATGCCCATATACACCACAACCAAAAAGGTGTGGAGGAAAGAAAATATAAATACCTGCTAGAAACAGCCAGGGCACTCTTATATCAGTCTAAATTGCCCGTGCAATATTAGGGATAGTGTATATTGACATCTACCTATTTGATAAATAGATTACCCTCATCATCACTCAAAGCTAAATGCACATTTGAACTACTGTACCTGAAGAAACCAAATTATTCCCATCTTAGAAGCTTTCGGTGCTTATGTTTTCCTACTACTCTCAAAACTCACAAAGATAAATTTGAACCAAGATCCACTCCTCATATTTTTTGTGGAATACCCCTTTGGGACAAAAGGTTACAAGGTACTAAATCTGGCATTAAAGAAAATAAGTGTTTCAAGAGATTTAGTATTCTATGAAAATGTATTCCTATTTGCCCTGTCCACCAGTCCTAGTAAAGTATTCCCTTCATTTCCTCAAATGAAATCACACCTATCAGATGAATTCTTTTCTGCCAATGATACAGAGAGCACTCCACACTTAGTGACTGAAAATCACCATGAAGTATCACCAAGGACTTTGTCTAGGCATGAACATCTGTCTGAATCAGATCCAATATCACCTCAACCATCGTTTTTTTGATAATAACTCAAACATTCTCTCAGTCAACCTTGAGTAGTCAGACATCAGGAGTGTTTCCTATTGCTGATAGTCCAACTATCTTAACTCAAGACCAAAACATTTTAGTTTTAGATCAGAGTAGACCTTCCAGAACCTTGAAATTTCCTACTTACCTTAAAGACTATGAGTACACAATTCCAAAGCTATAGCATACTCACCAAAACCAGTCCCCCTCTTCTAATGATAGCCAAAGTACATCATCCTTTTCTTTGACCACATTTGCACCCAGACTTCATCATAATCCCTTCAATGCCCTAAATTTCACCAGTCAGCATTTGATGGAAACTGCCTCACATGAATGTGAACCTAGTTCATATAAGGAAGTTGCTGTAAAACCTGCTTGGCAAGAAGCAATGAATTAGGAATTCCAAGCATTATATGCAAATAAGACTTGGGATTTAGTTCCTCTTCCAGTTAAAAAAAAGGCAATAGGGTGTAAGTGAGTGTATAAAATCAAGCATAAAGTATATGGAAGCATAGAAAGGTTTAAAGTAAGATTAGTGATGAAGGGTTACACATAGCAGGCTAGGATAGATTATACAGAGACCTTCTAACCAGCAGTCAAGATGACAACTGTGAGAGCCTTGATAGCAACAACAGTTAAGAAGAAGTGTACATGGAGGTGCCACTGGAGCTGGTTGTGGAAAGGCCAGGTTTAGTGTGCAAATTAAACAAGTCCCTGTATAGAATCAAACAAGCAAGCAAGCAAACAGTGGTATGAAAAATTAACTGAAGCATTATGTTCTAGGGGGTATACTCATTCAATGCTTGATTACTTCATGTTCTATAAAAAGGCTGAAGGATCAGTAGTGTTTGTGGCTGTCTATTTAGATGATGTTCTTGTCACAGGTACTCACCTGCAAGAGATTGAGTCCTTGAAAGATTTTCTACACAACACATTCAAGAAAAAAGACCTGGGGAGGCTTCATTACTTCCGAGGCATAGAGGTTCAATACACAGACAAAGGAGTTTTGATGTCACAGAAGAATTTCACTATGGACCTTTTAAAAGAGTTTGGCTGTATAGGTTGTCCACCTATGACTTCTCCTCTTGATTCATCTGTGAAGCTAAAAGTTGATGAAAGAGCCTTATTAACAGACCCTTCCAATTAAAGGAAGCTGATTGGGAAGCTCAACTTCCTTACTAATACTAGCCTAGACATTGCTTATAGTGTATAACATCTCAGTCAGTTCATGAAAAGTCCCAGCGAGCCACATCTGAAGGCTGCATATCATGTCCTAAGGTACTTAAAAGGGGATTCAATCTTGGGAATTTTTCTTACTAATGATGCAGACTACAAAGTGAAAGCTTTCTGTGATTCATATTGGGCAACTTGTCCCCAATCCAGAAAATCAGTCAGTGGCTACATTGTATTACTTGGGGACAACCCTATTAGTTGGAAATCCAATAAGCAGTCCACCATTTCCTTATCCTCTGCATAAGCTGAGTACATATTAGCTAGAATGGTTGTTGGAAAACTTGTCTGGCTTTCGAGGCTTCTTACTGAGCTTACTGTTCCTCTATCCTTACCCATTCCCATATTCTACGACAGCCAAGCTGCCCTACATATAGCAAGGAATCCTGTGTTCCATGAGCGTACGAAACACATTGAAGTGGACTGCCATTTTGTATGAGACCAGTTGCAGGAAGGATTGATTTTCCTACACCATATTTTTACTAATAACCAATTAGCCAATATTTTTACCAAGTCTTTGATAGGGATCAAACATTCCACACTCCTTGGCAAGTTGACAGTGAGCCCCTCACCTCCAACTTGAGGGGGGTGTTGAGATTTGTATTGTATTTATTCTTTTGTTCATTACCTGTACAGTAGTTAGTGAAATATAATTAGTGGAATTGGTTAGTTAGTTGTCACATGCTAAATGACAGTTGTCATTAGTTAGTTGGCTAGACTAGAAGTTTGTACATTCTATAAGTAAGAACCTAATTGTATATTTCATTTTCTGAGTTGATTAAAAATGAAAAGCACAACTCCTTTTCCAGAAGCTTCAATCTCGTTCTCTTCCTCTCTGTACATCCTCTGATTCCTCCATTGGAGCTCCTATTGAGGTCGTGTTCCTCTTGTTGTTTATGCAATTTCACACCTAGAAAATGCATATAATGGAACCAACAAAAAGAAAAAAATTGAAATTCATCCTAACTTTTTTTATGTAAAAAAAGACCTTTCTTCTTCTTTTTTTTCCTTTGTTCTTAAATAAAAAATGCAAATATTGAATTGTAGAAGAACTTTAATTTACCTCATTCCCAACCTAATGAAATGCACCTCGTAAGAAAAGAAAATTCCCACACCTTGGTGTATTGGGAACGAAGTAAAGAGGATTAAGGAGATGAAGGATCAATTCAATGTGATCTTTTCAATATGTGTTAAGGGAGGGCAATGTTGTGGCCGATTGTTTTAGCTAATTTTATGTTTTCTTTTGTAGATACAATAACTTTTCAATCATTTACCGAATTGCCTTGTGCAGGAAGAAAACTAATCAACTTAGACAAGGCTCAAATCCCTAATCTTAGGGTTAGGATTGAAAAAAGAAAAGCTCTTGATTCGTGTGTGAACTTATATGCATACTGCCTCCTTTTGTTTGTTCTTGTGCTTGTAATATCCATGTAGGGTTGAGCTACTATCGAGTGGTATTAGCATAGTTTCTTGCTCAGCCTAGAGGTGATTGGACATTTTGTGGAATTCCTATTACAAGCAGGCAGTCCTCTAGGTTTTATGTGATGCAACAAAGTAAATTACCATATGGGATCTTTGTTTGCTTGATTCTGGTAACATGTTTGAGTCGCGATAGACCATGCGACGCAAGGGAGGCAGCGAGCTTTAGACCTGGCTATGCGAGCTCTACAATGAGGAGGAGACCTGGCGATGCGAGCTCTGCATCGAGGAATAAACATATCTTTTATTTGGTCAAATTGTTAGACTTGGACCCAATTTGAGATTTTATTTATATATAGTAGCTACTAAGCACATAGTCTAGTAGTATATTTGCTTAAAAAAAAGAAAAAAGTATAACACTTGAAAGCCTTGTTCCTATAGAACATTTGTACTCAAGTCCAAGTCATGTATCTAGTGCAAGAAGATTCGAGAAAAGAACAAAAAGAGAATCCACCATATTAACGAATCCAAATCATAAGGCTTTGGTACTTTCCATTACGGTTTTGTCCGGCCGGATATGCTTGAGAACAACGACCATTCCATCTTTTTCCTTTTGAACCTCCACTTTCAACACTATTAGCTTTAAAATCACGCAAATTACCATCTATAAATAAGATGTCAAACAAAATTTTGCACTAAGCTCTAAGAAAAACTAAAAAGAAAAAAGTATTTATGGCTGTCCTTCAATACCAGTTCTTTCCAACTGATTTCTTCTTTCCTCGCCAATATTCAGTAACTAGAGGCAAGACACACCCTCAAATTTCTTTGCTCAATAACAAGAATATTGATAAAGATCAAGAAGTTTATGAAGATCTTAAAGAGTGTAAATCTTCATATGGCCAAAATAAAAACGAAAGCAACTCTTTGAGAATCGCTACTTCTTTTTCTGCCCCACTGAATCAGAAGCGAAACAAAGATGTGGAATTCTAATATGCTTGTTCACACTGTTCAACTTTGAATAACTGGTTTGCACGACCTATGGAGTTAAGTTATATATGTTGATAGCGCAAAAAGAATGTTAAAACTATCGGTATACGTACAGCTTGTTTGGATGATTGTTACCTGTTGTATTGTATCATTACTGTAAATATAATGTTTCTTTTAATTGTTACTTAAATTTTATTGTATCGTATCGTTAAATCGGTTGTCACGTAACGATGAAAATGTCACTTTATGGAATGATCGATTTGGTCTGGTCGCATGGTTATCTTTTTTTTTTCCTCATCTTGCCCTTCCTTATTAATTTTATTTTATCCTCTATCCTGCCTTTTTATAAAATAATTCTACCTACCAAACTTTATTATTATTATTATTATAATGTTGCAAGTTTATTCTTCAAGTTGTTGGTGCATAACATCATGAAACGATGTCAAACAATACAATATATCCAAACATTATATACATCAAAACGGTACTGATAGAATTTGAGGGTCCACCAAACTATATAGAGAACCGGGTTCTCTATTAGTTTCTACATATCACACACACATGACAATAAGTAAATGACACTGAGAGTTTTTACGTGGATAATTCCCAACTCACGGGATTAAAAACCACGACCTACCCATGTAGGATTTTAACTTCACTACTGAGCAAACTTTTAGATTACAATCTATTGTAACATAGGAATTAACTTCGTAATCCTTCACTAACTTGTAACAATCCTATTACAAGCCACTTTGTAATACCTCTATTACAAAGACTTTATAACTCGACTAACTCTAGCGAATACACAAACGCAAGGGTTTATGATTTACAAAGAGTTTCCTACACAATGCTTCTAGGTAAGCTAAGTAGGAATTACAAGTAAGAAATTTGACAAAGATACAACTCAACTAAGGACATATAATAGCTTGATATGGGGAATTGGTTCGTAGCTGTGTTGTTCTTTGTTCTTGATGCACTTGAGAATCGTTTGCTGGATGATCAATCACTGTGGGAGTGCTTGAGTAAATTCTCTAAGTGTTCAAGTTATGTTTTGTCTTTGGTTTAATGTTAATATAACATTGATGACATAACTTGAATGATGTAAGCATCTTGGGTACAAGATCCTTCCCAATGGAGTAGACTGTTGCACTGTGCTATACTGTTGCATGTGTAGGCAGTCACTTTCCAGCTGTTGGAGAGTTGACAGGTACGATCACCAGGGAAGCTGATGTCCATCTGTTCACCTTGTTGATTCTTTAACTTCTGAAAGACTGACAAATATCTCCAGCTTAAGTGTGGTTATTTCCACATGCTTGAGAAGGTGTACCAGATGTGTATCATGTTCCTTATCTGGTTCTTGACATTATGTTTGTTAGATCATCAAATTATAAAACAAGGTACTTATAACCTATCAATTTCCACATTTTTGATGATCACAAACTTATAATTGAAATTTCCACGAAGAGCCACAATGAACCAGAAATGGCAACTCTTATCCCTGAATTCCCCCTGAATCGGTGTTCCCCCTCAACCAATGCATATCATTTATTTAATTATCCATAGTCTTCCCCTTTTGGCATCATAAAAAGAAGAAAATCAAGTAAAAGCACAAAGAAGTCCAACATGGTTAACTCATGCCACATGTGTGCACACAAACATAATAGAAGATAGAGACCCAAGAGCAATGTATACACAACAAAAAGGGAAAAGCTTTCATTAAACAATTTGGATTTTACGACAGGAGTAGTTTCAATGTTGCTAGAAACCATCCACAATTCAAAACAAAAAAACAAGTACCAACCACAAAATATCATCAGAAAAAGTCATAAGAAATGGATACTTAAAACTTGACACTGGAGAGGACACTATGTAGGGAGCACTGGAGGAAGTGGGCTTGGAGTAGGGGGCAAGGGTTTTGAGCACTAGATCCATTCGAGCATTCGTCGATATTTGCTCATTGAGCAGTCTTTCTTTCAGGTCCTCCACTTGTTTCTTGATCTGAGCATTCTCCTTAGTCATACGGGCAACCTCTGAGCTTTGAGAACTACTGGAACCAGGTGCCTCCTGAAGCTGACTGAGCTGACCCTCAAGAATAGCATTCCTTGCTTTTAACTTTCTGATCTCCTCCGTAGCACTGTTCTGAGCGTTGATCAACTGAGAAATGGTAGAAGTGCTTCCAACTCCTCCAACCCTATCAATGCACTCACGTTCTTCGAGAGTAGTCTTGGAGAAAGATTTCTTCCTAGTGCCCACTTTAGCTTGTCCCAAAGGGACTTTGAAGAACTCAAAAACCTTGATGAGAAGGAACCCATAAGGTAGCCCATGGTTACCATCTTTGAACTCTGCCACTTTCTGCATGTGTTCAATCATAATCCCAGGCAGGTTGATGGTAGTGAAGCCATCCAGCGCTTCCATGAGAACCAAGTCGGCTTGGGAGGTAATGGATCTTCTATCAGCACGGGGAAATAACACTTTGTTCACCATCTCAAACAAAAATTAGTACACCGGAAG